CTGGACTAAATTTTCGATTCAAACAGTAATGAGAAAAATTACCTTTTAAGATATTTGAATAGATGTAATGAGATAATTTTGTGAAATAAGAAAAGCAAACTCTAATTAATAATAATAATAATAATAACTTTATTTCTCACCACAAACAACTTTACAAAGGATGTACATTTATTAATTAATTATTGACACGTTATTTGTGGGAGACTGGTGCCTGTTTAGGTTCAACCCCGTATTACAGGTCACCAGGCCCCCCATTGTTTATTTATAAGGTTTATTTTCACTATCCATATGTTAAATATTAATGTTAATTTAACAGACGTTATTACTATATTACTACACAACATACTAAAATTCTAAAACATGCTTACATCGTGTCAGAGATAACATAAGACTCACTGTATGATATATTTATTCTATATAATTATCTGCTTCTATTGTATTATTTTCAAACATTACTAATTTTCTCAGAAATATTAATTAACAGATTATTTTTAATAAATCTTCGGTATCCGAGTATGACAATGTCATGAGGTACTCTTTAAGTATTTTTTGAAATGACCATTTATTTAGAGAATGGAGGGAAAGTCTATTTTGGAGTTTATTGTATAGAAACGGACCCAAAAACCCGAAGAATCTCTCTGCAAAGGCTGTTTTACAACCCACTGCTTGAACAATGCGATATTGTCGATTTCGACGAGGATGTTTATGAAGATACAACAGTTCCGAGATACCATGCTGTCTAATCACAGTATGATGGATAAAAAGTTGACGGATTGTCAGTACTTCGCTTAATCTATACAGATCCGTAGTAGGATATAGAAAGGGCTTAAAGTAGATAACTTTTAACACAGCTCTTTGCGCCCTTTCCAGTTCAATAAGAAGTGTTTTGGCAGCAATTGGTTTATTAATACACAATGATCCGCGTAGCGTTTTTCTGTATAACACAAGTGTGTATTGAAAATAAATTTCAAAATTATTGTTTTGCAAATAAATCCTAGTAACATAATAAATCTACAGTAACTACTATATACTGATAATGTCTATAGATTTTACTGTCTATTAATGTCTATTAATATGTTTAAAAAGTCTATTAAGCGAATTAAATAATGACTTTTAATGTATTTCAGTGGTCACTATTTTGTTGTCCCTTTTAAATTCTTTAACATTTATTCTTAGACTAGAGAATAGTAAAAGCTCTATCAAAAGTTGTGAAAGATCTTTCAGTCAAAAGTTACATTTATTAATAATTTTAAATCATTTTTTTGTCCTATAGATACTAAAACTGCTGCTGATGATGCTGAACGACTGCTTTTCACTAGTTTCACTAGGGTGACGGAGAACTATCAGCGCCATCTATTGATGGGATCTACAACAAAAATTGCAATGAAATGGAATTTGAATTATGTAGCTTTCTATTGTACAAAGATAGTATGGTTCTTTTAATATTTGAACATCACTGATAATTTATTTATATTATAAATCTCACAATATTGAATCAACACAACAAATAAAAATACAATCTGAAAAAATAAAAAATAATGAGCACATTTTTTTGGATATGTTCCATGTGTCTAGTTTTATGTGTTAGTCATCACATTACCTCATAAGTATTGCATAAGATAATTATTTAAAAGATTATTTTGTCCAATGTCAATGTCTTGCAGCTCACCGACAGCGGTTAGTCATCTCTGACACACTTTCGCGATCCGATTTCCATTAAACTTGTTTGATCTTGTTAAGCGTCTTACTTAAATACAGAATTGATAATGATATTTCATAGAAATATAGACTAGGATAGTAGTACGTCTTAACAATCAAAATAATGTGTTTAACGAATTTAAAACCTTCTTTTGATTCGTTGATCCTTATTTAACAGGCTGACTGCGTTACCTCCTTTTTAAGTTTGTTAAAGTATTTTCAGTAAGGGATGTCTTTTATAGACGTAAGAAAAATGTATGTAAATTAGTTATGAATTACCTGACTAATGAGCGTATTTATACTATTACATTTTTTTTATTAAACAGTTTTCGAGAAAATTATAAACAATTTTATTTTTTCTAGTGCTTTTTTGTAATGTTGCTTGATATCGAAACAGAACATGCTATAATAAGAAAATATATTATTAATATTGGAGCTTTACGCGGATTAAAACATAAAAAACATTTAAGAATGTTTCCACATTTTGTTATTTACTTTGGTTTTCCATGTGCTCGCAACTCTACTTATCATTTACTTTTAATAATATAAAATTATGAAACTTGATAAGATATTTTTAATACAATTAAGTAAGATATTAAGTTTTTCAATTTATACAGACGATTGCCTGAAAGAAATTGCTTCTTGGCGATAGCGTCGCCGTTTGTACTATCTGTTCTTCGTGTTATTGTTTCCCTATTATTGGTGTTTATATACAAAAAAGAATTAGTCATTCATTCATATATTTCATTTGTTTATTCATTCATTAATATGTTCAAATTATCAACTGTTATAATCTGGTCACAGTCCTGCTTACAATAATAGAACAGGCCCGATATCAATTAACTCTAATTATAACGCTATGCAATAGTCATTATCATAAACTCAGACAACGTGTTTTTCAATTGTTAATTTAAATATATATATTTCATAATTATCATAATTTAAAGTATAAAATGAACAGTAATACATTATAGTTTTCATTATGAATCTGTCTAATTTTATACTGTAATTTATGATAAGTTTCAGTTAAATTCAATATATTCTTTTAATTCTAATAATCTAAGCATTTTTTTAAATTACAATAAATCAACATAGATATAATATCACACAGGAAAAAAATATATAAATTATGTTTGCGTGCACATTTCTAGTTCGATTTTTATCTGCGAGTATATTAATTTTGTTATCAAGTCATGTTTCTTTTAAAACATAAAGTTCTTCATCGCAGGATTCTAAGAAGTAAACGTTAAGTTAATTGGCAGTTATTCATCCGGCTGTGGTTTCCTTTGTTCGTCAGTTTAGCTCGCATAAGTTCTAAAAACTTTCTGCATCACATATGATGCATTTTTGTGTCATGTAGTGTTTCCTGTTCGCAATTTGCTTAGGACTATCGCTAGATGCATAATTTAAATATTATCAATGTTAAGAATAAACAGTTTTTCTATTAAAAATCATAGAACAGCAGCTGGCATTGTTGCCAAATGTTTTCAATTATTAAACAAGAATTTTTTAAATATTATTGTCATGTAGGAGGCAATTGGGATTTCTCAACAAAAGAATGTTGAAAGAAGTGGCACTAGCAATCTGAATAAAACAAGAAACCTATTAGATAATATCCAAAATATTGACAAAAGAGTACAACCAGGAAAACTTTAAGATCAATATTATGATATTTATATGTTTTATTGAGGTATTTAAAAGATGGAATTCGAAGATGTTTTCGTTTGTTTTATGTGTTATCTTAGGATTTTTAATATTCATTAGATGACTCAGGGGAGTCCCTTGTGAATTCAATGTTTGATGGTGACTAATAAATTGTGATCCGTGAGTTTTTTTTATTTGAGTATTAAAGTTAAGCCTTTTAGTCTGATTCTGAGTACAGTTGGTGATTGTTGTGTGAAATTTCTGTGGTATTTCGATTGTGGGATGTGAGGTGAGTGAATAAAAAATATGCACTAAGAAATTCTAAGAAATTCACTAAGAATTTCTCCTCAAATTAAATTAGTGGTTAGATAAAATACTTCAGATATGCTGAGGTATATTGTTTTCTTAAATAGTTTTTATATCAGTGCAAAATCTATAAAATGTATCATTACTCATACAGTTGTTCATGTAATATTTTTTTCTGATAGTGTACTTACTTATGCTCCCCCGAAACGTCGAAAGCTGAAATACATAGCATTAATGACACGACTTTTTGGCATAAGACAGGTTAAGAATATTTTTGCGGTGTTTTAGGAATAATTATTTACTAAATTTGCGGCATCAGTTAACTTCAGACTTATTTTCTTGAAATTTGGTTTTTAAATTGAACTTAGTAATCGAAAATTTTCATAAATGTTTGCAGATGAAACACTTAGAAAGAATAACACCATACACAGATTTTAAGATGCATATTTATTTTCCCGGCAATTTCAAATAGAACGGAAAGCTTTACATTTATTTTATAAGTAAAAGAATTATTATAAGTTTGAAATCAATTGAAAATCTATTACTCACAATTTAACGTGTTATTTTAACAAACAATTCTCGCAACATCGCGGTTTTTTATTAGGCCTTTAAGTAGATTATTTAATTTAACTGCCATCATTTATATGACTCTACAAAGCTTTCCACTCGGCTAAATGATAATAAACCCAAAAACACATACGGTTTCACAAACCAACGCCTATGGCAAAACCACGACCGTAAAACCGTTTTATATACCTCGTACAAAACATACTAGCAATGAAACACACGCACTTATTCCTGTCACTATAACCTGTCTTAGAACAAAGAGCTGTTAAACCGAAGCTTACTAACACTATATTTTAGTAAGACTGCGTTGGCAAGCCACAACAGAGTGAACGCTTTCGTCTATCAACCCCGTGGACACGAATCCTCCGTTTCTACGTCACCTCACCCCATACTAAATAACCATCCTCATTGGTGGATTCAGTTTGGCGCGCTTTCTCAGTACCAAATTCAAAAGCACAACAACAATCGCCTTCTCATTCGTGTAGGGTTGTAGCGACAACAAATGAAAGGGAAAGAATCACTCTGTCAACCGCTGTTGTTACATGATGTAACCAGTTTTGTGTGAGACGTTCATATCGCCGATTGCGCCTGTGGGAAAGGGACAGTGTCGGCAATGCCGAGGTGACCGCTGTGGTGGAGTGCGAAGGGAACGTGCTACCGTGCGTTCCACTATTTATAATCAAATAGGTTAGCGATGTGTGCGTGCGTGCTTACGTTATGCACCGCACCCCTACACTCGAAGAGGCGTCGAGCGAAGCAATGATGTGCACGAAGTATTATCCCTTATTACACGATCTGCTTCCGCGGCGGCCGCACGTTCAATAGTTGTCTAGAGACTTCTTTTGTCGAGCGGAACGTGCGAAGTCACAAGTTTGTTTACATCGATGCATAGCGCGTTAGTTGACGCGATTGTGTCATCGACCGAGCGCCGGTTATCTCTGAATTATGAGTGAAACGGACAATGTGCGCGTTAGTGTTTTTGCGACGAAACTTTTTTGTGTACTCGTAAACTTTGCGAGAGCGTGCGAGCGGTGTCGGCCGCGACGAAACGGACAGTGAGCTTCATCCGGAACTACTTTGTGCCATCGAAAGTGTGAAGTGAACAGACAATTTTATCCAAGACGTTTTGTAGAGTTTTGCGATTAGATTTTTAATAATTCTAATTTGAAGAAGATTTTTTGACTTGCAAACTTTTTGGAGAAGATAAATTTTGAATTTCGAAGAAGTCTTAAAAGTTTCAAGAGGTGGTTGAAATTAAAAACGACCGAGTAGGTTTTTATACACGAAAAAGACAGGACGATCGGTCCACTATTCTTACGCAGATAAAAACAATTGCGAGAGACAAAGATGGCTATAGCGTTCAATTTGCCAAGCGAGAGAGAGGCTTCTGAGGAGAATTTTTCCCGTCTCAACCGGCTGCTTGCCGAGTTGTATGAGGTTCTGTGCCATATCTTGGTATCCAGACAGCCTGGCCAAGAGATCCAGGATTCCAGGAGAGGTGAGTGCCCTGGGGAACCGCTAACACCACCTTACCACTTAAGATGCAATTCGACCTACATCGTCAACCTAGTGATGGTAGTGGCAATCATAAAAGTATCACTCGCGTCGTCACTTTTCAACACGATCAGATAAAAAGGACGGGAGAACTCTATGTGTTGTTGACAGTGATCCTGCAAAGCAGATCTGGACAATTGTTACGTATTTTTAAGTCCATCCGTGTTTCTTTGTATTTTGTAAAAAAACAATGTATAAAATATTATTTTTTGAGAGATGTTGTGTCCAACTGCACTTAAATTGTAAATGGTGGTTAACGCACCGATAGAATGACATTCTATCGGTGCGAATGCTCTAACACTTTGCTTACAGAAGGAATGACGCTTTTCGATAGAAATTTGAGTGAAGTTTGACAAAACGTTTCTAGTTAAACGAAAAACATTTTTGAGTGTTCGTAGGCGATGCATTTATGAAATTCTCTAACGTTCAAAATATTTTTGGAAATTTATTAATTGTAGCTAAAGCTTTTTATACGAGCAACTTTGTAATCCACTCGCTAGAGTAGCAGTATTATCGCTGTTACGAAAACGTAATTAATGATAATTTTTAGTACTGTTAAGTTTTTAACATTTAGTGACATTTTCCATTTGATCTCTTTACTTTGTTTATTGATTTTTTTAACGTAGTTTTTTTTTGTTTAGTAGTATAATTTATCAAATTTAATTTTGATTAGTTTACAATAACTGTTGCGTTCAGCAATATTTTTTTTAAGAATACTTTGTCTCACTCGGGCAAACTTTAATGGATCTCAAATTTATTTAAGTTCCAAATAATACCGATAGTCATAATTACATTTAGTTTTTCTTTTTACTTAAATTCATTTTGATTAGACACCAAATATTAGTTAAATATTATGAAAAAAATTAAGGGAAAATAATTTTCTTGCAGATGATAATATTGTTCTCTTTGTTCTTTTATTTGCTAGAAGAAAATTATGTTTTTAAAAGTGTTGTAAATATACACTTATATAATCCGATAAATATAATTCTGTTATGGTGTAGTTTGTTTTAATTATGTTCTGTTTCATAAAAAGTGTAAAGACTATAAACTCAAAAAAAATCTTGATTTGTATAAAGATTTATAAAAAAACGAGATGTACATTTTATTAATTTTTAAGCATAATTTTTTCTCTAATTTTAAAAGTGTAAATATTGCATTTAAATGTTTGTGATTATTTTTTATTTCGCATAATTAGTTACATATACCTACATATATGATAATTAAGTACAGCATATAATCAATTATACATAAACAGGATTGTGTTTTATAATTTCTATGGCCCCCAACAACCGTTGGGAATATTGTGAAATAAATATTATTTTGTAAAAACTTTGAATGTGGGTTTTCAATTGACGTTCCGTATTCCTTCACAGTCAAAAAAATCAGAAAAGGATAATTACTAAAGAAACTTAAGTTCATTATATAATTAATTATATTTATTAAGATAAAAAAATACCGTTTGAAAACTTTCTGCTTGCTAATAAATAAATTAAATATTTCTTTTAAATAATGTTTATCACAGTTCAGATATCAACTTAGAAAATTATTATAAAAAAAGGCTTTTATATTTGGTCACTTTTGTATTCACAGTGCTATATCGAGTAACCCTGGGCATGATTTAGCAAATTAATTTTTGCTAGTATTATTCTTTTAAATAATAACATTATTATCCATATGGGCGTCAAAGATCAAAAAGCTCGATTTAAATAAATTTGTGATAGAGCGTAAAAAATAAAAAGATTATTAAAAATAAGTTTAGGTTCACTTTAGTCTTTAATAATGTGAGCCTTCTTATGCGACTACATAAATTTTCCAAGCTTTAAATTATAAAATAATATTACATTTTGGGAGACAAAACCTGTTGTCGACATATTAAAATATATTTATTGTATTTCTACGCTAAAATAGCTAACCAACAATGAACAACAGCAAATTAGCACGGCTAAACCGTTAACAGCATTTGCCGACTGCTCGTCAATCATGACACAAATAAACCTAAGTTTGCATGAGCTACGTCAGGAATAAAGCTTGGTGGTTCTATTGTTAGACCAATTTTCGTTTAAGTATAAATAATAGGAAAAGATATCTATTAACAAACGAATATAAAAATGATCTCGTCGATGCTAATGTTACTGAGATTAGAAAAGGAGCAATCAATATTCACTTTAAATGTTCATAATTGACATAGTAAAACAAAAATTTAAAAAATCACAATATAATAATTAAACAACATCACGCACATTGCTCAGATTCCAAGATGAGTAGCTAAAGCCGCCATATTTATTTATTTATTTAATCTTATTTGCCTAAAGAAATAGACAAATGGCGGACTTAATGCCAAATAGGCATTCTCTAACAGTCAACCAGTAAATTTAGTAAAAACTTAAAGTTAAAGAGGCGACACACATTACACTTTTGTTGGGATATCAAATTATGGAGTATATGAGACAACGAAGGTACCACAACACTCACCCGGGATAATATAAAAAAATAATTATTTTCTACATTGAATCGACCGGAAATCGAACCCGGGATCTATATACAAAAATAAATTAATTAGTTATATTAAATTCTACTGCATCATATTATCTTAGTAAGAAAAAAAACAAGTTTTGAAAATAAGTCGCAAGTCTAACAAACAAATACGTTAAGTTGTTGTCGCATGTAGGTATTGAATCGACCGGAAATTGAACCCGGGATCTATATACAAAAATAATTAATTAATTATATGAAATTCTACTGCATCATATTATCTTAGTAAGAAAAAAAAAACAAGTTTTGAAAATAAGTCGCAAGTCTAACAAACAAAGACGTTAAGTTGTTGTCGCATGTAGGTAAGCAATAATTAATATTTTCTTGTTAATAATACAAAAATAGAAACGATTGAAGCTTTTAATTTGTGTCTTAAAACAAATATACTGTTTCAATAAAAGTGTCCTTGATATTTTATTTCGAAGAACTGAAATGCTTGGGTATATTTTAAAAGTTTTAGAACGAAAGAAAACAATCCAACAACACCAACATTTATTTAAATAACACAAGTTGTATTTCTAGTTTTTATATAACTAATATAGATTATTATATATATATATAAAGTTGATGATATAACTGGTAACTGTGTTTACATTGTAAGTTTTCTTACAAAAATACGACAAAACTAGTTCAAACATGACACTTGAGATTTAAACTTGGCTTGCTTAGAGCGGCGGTCACGACTGATGTTTGCCTTAAGTTAAAAGCGGAAGCAAACAAAAAAGATAATAAAATGAAGTATTACAAGCAATGAAAACCTGAAATCGTCGAAATAATATTTCGTAAATAAGTAAATTAAAAAGTTTGTATTAAATCCTTTTCCGTATTCCAATATTGTAACCCTGATCAGTCAAAAGCCAGTTAACGAACAGCTAATTTCTTCAAAGTTTCATATATTAATCACAGATAAATTATCAAAATATTACATAGTTCTACGCTGTCGCATGAAATTTGTGGCATAATTGAAATAATAAGGCTTTAAATGCATTGTATATTTAATCGCCTTTCTCTTATGACTCAACGCAACATAGCATTGGCAATGGAATAAGTTCAATACGAGTATTTGAAAGCGAAATGTGATCGGAATCGAGTTGTTAGCTTACGAAGAAACGAAAACGACATTTTACCATACAAGCGACGAATAACACAACTATGTACGTGTATTGAATAATATGTTAAAATTAACACTTTCGATCTCAATGTCAAGAGTTCTCGGGTTCGATTACTAGTTAGATGTATTAAATGTTGTTTTATGTTCAGATTAGAGCAATGAAAATCGCTACAAAATTATGTGAATTCGTTCGATTAGTTAAGTCGTCAGATTGTGAATTTTGTATAAAAACATTAAAGTTACACGCACCTAATCCTTCTTTTCCAACATAAATCAAAATTATTTTGTTACCCGACGTAAGTGTGTAAATAAATCTTTGGTTTGTTCTCGCTATACATAAGATAGAAAAAAAAACATAATTATTATAATAAAACTATTTGCAATTCATTATCACCAGCCCTGTTATGTCCCCAACGCAGGAGGTCAGGTCTTAAGGAGCATGAGATATGATTATACCTCTATCGATATATTTTTTAAAAATAAATGCTTCAAAAATTCATCAGTCTCATGTTGGATTAATTACTTATTATTTTGTTTACATGTACACTAAATATATACTTTTTTAGTTTAGGAAGTTCAAAGTAAATTTGATAATAAAATTAATACAAAGTCTCCCCGTCTTCGGAGACGTGACTTGCTTTAAAAAAAGGATCAGTTACTAATGTCAAACTTCACTCCTTTTTCACAAACAATCGAAAAGCAAAGCTTTATTATCTGTGTGGTCTGCCCTTTCAATTGTTACAATGAGCTTTTGACAATTTCCAGAAAAAAATGACGCTTCCAATTTCGACTTTAATGTTATCGTTTAAAGGTTAAATATAAAAAAAGCTTTCCAACTAAAAAAAGGGATAGATAGTCAAAAGTAAGTCACGCTTTCAGTGACTTATTCCGATTACGATTGGAGTGTGAAAAGACGCTTCGATGCTTCGTAAGATCAAAATAGCTTTTTATCAAAGGCTTGTTTTAATTGTATCTGGATTGTAAAGCTGTTTTATTATAGAATCGAGGTGGGGGAGTTAAAATAATACTGCTATAGTTATTTGACAATCGTACTTGTAAAGCATAGGTTTAGCTGTAAAGCTATTTGACATATCATAAGTTGTTGGATAGAAAATCTATAAAAGAAAAAGAAATCTTCAAAACATATACCTAGATGAGAATAAATACTAAATAAGTTATACTCTTTTATTAACAGCTTTTTCTCTAAGATACAGCGAGTAAACAAAATTGAAACAAAACAATGAAAGTAGATCATGTTACATGAGTATGACCAACATCTGAGTGTACTGTATACATCGGTC